CACACACACACACACACACACAGATTCTGAGTATACAAACATAAACACTAGTTTCTATATATGCAATTTCCATGTGATTCTATCAGGTGTTGGTTTAGTATGTGACTCGGCTGTGATCAGACAGACCTCTCCGAAGGGCTTGAGGGTGACGATGTTGTAAGAGGCAGGGTCTCGCTCCACCAGACACGTCTCTGTGAGCGCCAGGATCCTCCTCACAGGCTCCTGAGACCAACACAACCACGAGCATGCATCAGATCCACCCCACACACACCAGAAAGCCCATCAGGTGCAGAGCTGATCTTACCGTGTGCCGCGGCGTGATCTTCTGCACGATGAACTCGGTCAGTGAGGTGATGCACTCGTCCGAACCGTACTTCCCCAGACGCTCGCCGAGGAAGCCCTCGAAGCTCAGAAGCTCCTTACGCAGGCGCAGCGTGATGCCGATGAAGCTCCCGGCGTGTTCGATCGCACTGCGAATGATCTCGTCACGGTGCTCGGACGCAAACAGATGCTGGAGTGAGAGAGAGTGAGAGAGAGGAGGTGAGTTCTGAGTGAATCACAGGTCACTCTGTGCTGAATCAGGACTGAACACACACCAGTCTGCCGAAGCCTCCATACAGCACACAGAACCCTCCCTGATAGTCGGAGAGCTCGGCGAAGCCCTCCACGCAGCGGTAGTCGTACGTGCAGATCACAGGCTCCTGAGACCAACACAACCACGAGCATGCATCAGATCCACCCCACACACACCAGAAAGCCCATCAGGTGCAGAGCTGATCTTACCGTGTGCCGCGGCGTGATCTTCTGCACGATGAACTCGGTCAGTGAGGTGATGCACTCGTCCGAACCGTACTTCCCCAGACGCTCGCCGAGGAAGCCCTCGAAGCTCAGAAGCTCCTTACGCAGGCGCAGCGTGATGCCGATGAAGCTCCCGGCGTGTTCGATCGCACTGCGAATGATCTCGTCACGGTGCTCGGACGCAAACAGATGCTGGAGTGAGAGAGAGTGAGAGAGAGGAGGTGAGTTCTGAGTGAATCACAGGTCACTCTGTGCTGAATCAGGACTGAACACACACCAGTCTGCCGAAGCCTCCATACAGCACACAGAAGCCTCCCTGATAGTCGGAGAGCTCGGCGAAGCCCTCCACGCAGCGGTAGTCGTACGAGCAGATCACGCGGTTGCTCTGAGGGTCGATCTGATCGATGCCTCCCGGCGTGACCTCCAAACACACGCTCCTCCGCGCGTCGCTCCAGTGATGCTTGAAGCAGTTATAGCGCTGAGGAAACACGAGCAGAGCTTTTTTAACACTCAGATCAACAAGAAATTACCCCCAAAAGTCAATTAACGTTGTGTAATAAGAAAAGCACTGAATGGACATTACAAAAAGTAGCTTTAGAAAGACATTTTGATTCAACTTTACATTAATGATCAATAAATGTGTATTAATGTTTTTATTTTTATTTTTTAATGAATACTGAAATATGAAATAAGAACATGTTAATAAGTCACTGAATCATTAATTTAACCAATTCATTCAAAACTGTGGATTCATTCAGTAACGGATCGCCGCTGTGTGTTGATCGAGACGCTCATCAGTTCTGCTGTGGATTTGATTTTCATTTGAGAAATTGAACAAAACAGACAATACTGTGTCTAAAATGTAACGGTATTAACTTCTTGTTTATTGAACTGTTGTATAAATCAGTTTCACATTATCAATGGTGGTACTCGTTTTAATAACTATTATCATAAATAATACAAATAATATGAAAACAACAAATATAATTGTCATCAATAATATAAAACAAAAGCACAATTTTAATCATTAATAAATTCATCCCTATTATTATTATTATATGTTATGATTTATGTTTATAATATAATATTTAGAAATATAATACTGAACATGACACATATGCACATATTGTACTTGCTCTGTTCAGCTGGTTCTGTAAGCACACACAGCTGCACATGTATTCTATGAGCAGACAGAAAAGCAGTACCTGGTTAGTCACTTCTAGTGTGGTGGGATTGTATGTGGTGATGCCGTGAGTTCCCACAGAGAAAACACGCTTGTACCTGCAGGAGCACAAAAACAACCATTTCAAAACTCTGCACTCAATCATATGTTGCATATCATTTTCTTATATAACTTTTTTAAAAACTGGACCGCTATCTAATGCATTATTGTCTGTCTCTGAGAATAAAGCGAGACTTGTTGTAATCACAGAGGGGCCACGACATCAGAAACCACACATGGTCAATAATGGCACTGTTTTCTGTCTCTGTGTCCAAAAATGTTGCGCGCAGACGGTCTGGAAATAACGGCTGCAGTAATTAGACAGGAGCGTGTTTGTGAGAGAGAAGAACCCAGAACTCCTGTCACTGTGAGCCAATCACATCAGAGCAGCTCTTCTTCATCTGAAGGACATGCAGAAGCACCACCACCAGCTAGTACATATACTAAAGTTTACTCGCCAGACGCACGCACGCACACCCTCTCACTCACACACACACACACACACACTCACTCAGTATATATATATATATATATATATATATATATATATATACAGTGTGCACGCAAAGTCTAGACACACACACACACACACACTATATACACACACACTCACTCTCTCTCACACACACACATTCACATACTCGAACACACTCACTACACACACACACTATATACACACACTCAGTCTCTCTCTCACACACACACATTCACATACTCGAACACACTCACTACACACACACACTATATACACACACTCAGTCTCTCTCTCACACACACACATTCACATACTCGAACACACTCACTAAAAAAAAAAAGAATGAGATCAGAATCAGTCCTGGCTGATCTCTGAACACAGCAGATGAGGTAATGGAGAGGAACACACAGCTGGAGGAATCTCTTACACGTCTAGTGCTGTGTACAGCTGTATAATTCTTCCAGTTTACAGTCTTGTGTGCTGGTGAAGAGTAATCCAGCTCTCGAGTGAAGCGGAGAGCAACAGCAGATGAGTGACCCTATAGAGCAGGATAATAACCACTGCAAGCAGCTCAGCTCACAGTATAGCTGGGTCTGCATGGGAGCACTGGCTCAGCCGTGGACGTGTCAGAGCTCGATTTGCTTTCATTTCAACAGCTACATGACACACATGTGCTACTTCCCTTTTATTAGGAAACTGAGAGCTAAACATCTCCCCCTAACCAGCCAGCTCTTCACATATTCTGACAAACCTGATCAACATGATAAAACAGAGTCCCAGTGTTTCCGTCACACAAAGAAAGTCAGTGGGGTCCAAAATCATTCTGAAACATTTTCTTGAAATATCTTCTTTTGTGTTTTTGTTGAACAAAGAAAGTCATACATGTTTCTAATGAGGGTGAGTAAAATTACAGAATTGTTACTCCTGGCTGAACTTTTCAAACCCTAAATAGTTCACCCTAAAATTTAATTTCTGTCATAATTTACTCACTCACATGTTGTCCCGAACCTGTATTAATTTCTTTCTTGTGCTGAACGGAAAAAGAAGATATTTTGAAGAATGTGGGTAACCAAACAGTAGCTGGTCCTCATTGACTTTGATAGTAGGACAAAATACTGTGGAAGTCAGTGTGGACCAGCAACTGTTTGCTTATTCACATTCTTCAACATAACATTCATGTTCAGCAGAAGAAAGAAACTCATTCAAGTTTAAAACAGCTTGAGCGTGAGTAAATGATGGTATAAAAATAAAACACTATGACAGACAGATGACAGAATTTTTATTTTTTTGGGTGAATTATCCCCTTCATCTTAATAAAACAAAACACAAAAAGAAAAATCCCTTGCTGCTCTTGACTGAAGAATATTAATACAGTTGCTTTAATAAGAATTTATGTATAATTTATACAGTGAAGTGAATACAGTGTTTTACTTTTATATTTGTTGATTCAATCTTGAATGCTGCTGCTAAATACACCTGCTGTACCAGAAAAATAAAGCACTGTTTGTTTTATCTGTGTGTTATGTGTATCTTTGTTCTTATTTTTTTAACAGAAAAGATAAAATAATGACAAAATCGGCCTAAATATCTGCCATACCTTTTTATATATTTTGTTACCTTGTAAGTTTTTTTTTTTTTTTTAAATAGGGAATTTAGTTTGGCTGTACTGCTCAGACAGAATAGTAAAACCCACATGACAAAGAATTGTGATAAAATCGTGAATTGTGATATTCCTGAAAAAATTGTGATATGATATTTTTGCCATATCGCCCACCCCTACATTAGCCTGAGCTCTGAAACATGAAGGTCATGAAACCCAATAAGCGGGTGGCTCTGAATGAAGTGTCTCATAGTAACCGAGAGGAATGAGGCACTTACTTCCCCCTCCAGGAGTGTTTGGTTGTGTAGAAACAGGCCAAGTCTTTGTTGTCTTTGAGGACGTTCATCTTCAGGCAGGGCCTGTGAAAACAGAAGAGGGTCACAGTCTGGAACTCAAACAACAGCGTGGTATACGATCACACAAGCTGTCATGGGGAAACATGGAAATACATTGAGCAGTTTATATAGTGTGACAACAGGACGACTCTCAGACTGTACACTTCTGCCAGAGATTACTCAAAGTGCTCACAAATCACATTTGAAGTGAGTAATTTTAAATGTTAATTGGATGATTCACCCAAAAATGTGAATTCTGGCATCCTCGTGTCATTCTAAAGCAATAAGACTTCCAATCATTCAGATTTGGGGAAATGCTCAGCAATGGATGCTCTGCAGTGAATGGGTGCCGTCAGAATGAGAGTCCAAACAGCTGTTCAAGCAATATTACGACTTTGGACTCTTTGTATTTGAGCTGGAAGCAATGGTTTGAAGTTACAAATGTCTTAATGCTGGATTAGTTTCAGCTTTTGTCTTCTCCAGATGTTAACTGATGGACTGGAGTGCTGTGGATTACTTGTGGATTATTGTGATGTTTTTATCAGCTGTTTGGACTCTCATTCTGACGGCACCCATTCACTGCAGAGCATCCATTGCTGAGACACTGATGCAGTGCTACATTTCTACAAACCTGATGAAGAAACAAACTCATCCTGATCTCAGAATTCACAATTGCTGATACCAGGCTAACTAATGGTAGTAAAAAGTGCTTTTACAGTTACAGTAATACAGTTATTGAAGACAAGTAAACGGTCAGTAATACAATAAGATTTTCTCTTTCTCTCATATTGTTTGATTAGCATTAATGACACAGACAGCAGCAGGTCCTTACTGAGGAACCCTGGATGATCCTGCCACAGCGCAAACTCCCAACGCTTCCTAAAACATCAGCAAGCACACTCGCCACGGCACGCACAGATTACACACCTCACCCGTGTCTTTGATTGAGCCAGGCCAGAGATTCAGAGACCGGAGCCATGGGAGTGAAGCATTATGGGTAATACTCACAGATGCAAAATCAATCAGTTTATAAGTTTAGATAAATAAAAGCAGCCTATGAATTGTTTCACTCACAATTAAATATAATAAAAAGAACATTTATATTGTATTCAGAGAAGCGCTGGAAGTTGGGTGAGCAGAGAGCAAAGCAGAGACAGCTGAGAGGAGTCAGATCATGAGTGTCTCTCTCTGTCAGCAGAAACCCTGACTCCTTCCGTTCTCCTCCGTTACAGCGGCTCAGAGAGGCTGAGAGATAATCACTCATCACAGCAGCAGCTCTTAACTCTTGGGTTATATCATCCTGCTTCATGTTTAATACTGTTATACTGGCTAGCCAGGTTTGGAGACTTTACACTGTACATTGGTAAACACTGAGCTAAGGCTGGAATATGCATATTAATAAAACCGATTGGAGAAGTATAATATATGACGAGAATGCGAGCTGTTTGTTTGCTTTTCCCTCTTTGGAAACGTCCCCATATAAATGTGCTCTCGATATCTTCAAAATCCATTGAGTGAAATATATACAATCCCTGATCTAGAGGACTGAGTGCACTTTATAAAATGACTGAAGTGATAAAAAAAGTGGTCAAAAAAATTTAACATTAATTGGCTTCAAAGTAGAAGCCTTTGTGTTTTTAAAATGAATCACTCAATGAACAATAAGGAGGAATACATAGGGTTTTCACAGTCAATCCTTATGACAAAAAAAATACAAAATTCTCTAAGGCTTGATTATAAATGTGGTAAATAATCAGAGTGCTCGTCCATGGATAATCTCACTAATTCATTGAGAAAGTAAATTAGAAATCAATTAAAGGAAGCCCTGGAAGATGAGGATGCAGTCATCTCAGTCTATGAAATGACCAAAGCCAAACTTGGTAATTAAAACGAATGAAATTCATAATAAACACCAAAGCCAGACTCAATCAACAGACTGAAATGTGTAATGGCTAACATCTGTCCAACATGCTCCTCCTGAATGTGTAATCCTGGTAATCTAGAATCTATTAGTGTAGTGGAAGTACAGTATTGGGCTGCGATGCATTGATAGCAGAAGATCGCCGCTTCCAGGACGAGGTCACGTGATCTGCATCAACAGCTCTTAGCGAGGATCAATAAAGCGGTTTATCACTGCACCGTCCTGCAGCTCTCTGTACAGTTTGAGTCCTGTACGGTGAAGACATTAATCAAACTGGTCTTTGCAGGATAAAAAAGCGTTTTTGAAAGATTTTATGAATGCAAAGCTCCAATCTAATGCAGCAATAAAGCTTCTGATGAACCTGTAGCTGCTGTAAACACACTTTCAATAAAACATAATGACAGGCATGAGTGTGCTG